ATGTTAGTTTTTGTCAATTTCATTAAAATGAATGTGATACTATTATCACTTGATTTAAAACATAAAAAATAACTAATCCCAATTTTCGGCAACCTCATTATTATGAAATGAAAATAAATGTATCACTTGATTTAAAATTTTTAAAAAATGACAAATTATATTTATAGTCTCTGTATTTTGTTACTTTTATCATCCTTGAATTTTTAATTAGCTCAATTTCGATACTTAATTTTAAATTTTGCTTCAATTTTTTCAAATTGATAACGACATTAGAATTTTTAACAAAAACTATCACTGATTTGATTGAGGTTAAGTAATTGAATTGATTAAGTATATAATTTTTTTTTCTTAAAAGTATGACACATATACCGTAATAAAAAAAAAATACTAACAATTGAAATCAATTTGATCAATTTGAGGCAAAGTAAAAAATTCAATACCAAAATTGAACAATCAAAATTAAAAAAAAAAAGTCAAAATATAAAAATTAGCAACGCAATTTGCTTTTTAAAAAAAAAAAGGATTAATCACATTTTTATCCTTGTAGTTTGAACTATATCTCACTTTAATTTATATAGTTTTAATTTAAATAATTTGATCCTTACACTTTTAAAACCTATTTTGGAAAGTATGTTAAAAACTGACTTTTGATTTTATTTTTTTTTTTTTTGACTTTTTTTTAAAAACGTGCAAAAAATAGAGAAGAGATGTGCGATCTAAAAAAGTCAAAAACTCAATAAGTTGGCTTTTAACCTATTTGTCAAAAGTGGAAGTCTAGTTTAATTTGGTCATTCTGTCTAAATTTTTGCTAATTTTATCTACGTGTATACTTTAGAAAATTTACAAGTATCCTAAAATTGTTAATATTAACCTCTAATTTAGATTTTAAAAAATCAAATTAAAATCTTAAAAAATTTAAAAATGTTTCAAATTTTTAATTTTAATTTATAATTTAAATGGAATGATCGAATTAAAATTACATTTAAAATATAAAAATCAAATTATTTAAATTAAATTTATAAAGATTAAAATAAAATTCACATTAAACTACAGAAGTAAGAATTTTAATTAACCCAAAAAAAAAAAAAACCTTATTTTGAATAAAAGTCAAGGTGTAAAAAAAGAAGAAAAAAGCGCGATCATCAAAACGCCGCAACACAAGCCAAGTCTTTGCACCTGAGGTGACGCTGCCGCACGTGAACCTATTTATTATTTGACTCCACCTTCGCTCAATGTCCTGTCCCTCTCTCCCTCTCACTCTCACTCTCACTCTCACGTGTGATCATTTTCATATCTATACTATATTGAGAGAGAGAGAGAGAGAATGTATTGTGTTTACCAGCAATTTGCTGATGTTGTCTTTGCGTAACAGCTCTTGACTTTTTGTGTTTGCTGCTGTTTTCTCTCTCTCTCTCTCTCTAACCATCTGTGCAGAATTTGAGGTTTGTTGCAATTTTTTATGTTACAATCCCAATAAACATTAGTCAGACCAGAACTAATCAAGGCATTCCATCTAATTAATTAATTACTATTAATTAATTAATAGTAATAGGTTAGTTACCCACGCTTGCGCCACCCGAATTGGACAATGAGTTTGTTTGAAAAGAAAAAGTTCGGGGTTTTTTTTTTTTTTTTAATTATCTTAGTTACAAAAAAAATAAAATAAATTTTTTAATTTAATAAGATAAAACATTACATCTATCTCATAATTATTACATTTTTTCTGTCACAAAAAATAAGAAAATCAAAAATTTCATTCTAAACGAAACTTTTTAACCCTAAACTAAAATAACCAAAATCAAAAAATTAACCCACATCCCAAACAAACCCAATATTCTATTGAATTTTTCCCATTTCATACTCGAGAAAAAAAAAAAAAAAAATTTCTCTTAAAGTATAATCCATTAAAACATAGAGATAGAAAAATTTTAAAACAAAAATCTCATTTTAGATTGATTCATATAACTTCTTCACACTGCTTAACTTCTTTTTGAATGACTTTTGAATTCGCCAAATCATCTTATAGTCACGCATTAAGGGTGATGAAGGAAAGGTCTGATGTTCGAATTGGTAGAGAAGTTGTAATCTAATTTACTAACAAACTTATATCCTATAATCTTAGTTGAAAAAAAGAAAAAAAAAAAAGAACAACCTTCATTTTAGATTAAGGTCAAATTTGGGAACAACTTAAAATAGTAAAAAAAATCACTTTCAAAAAATCACTGTCAAAAAGTAAACTAAAATTTGGGAGTATATGTTTTTACTTTGGTGAGAAATGATTAAGAATGATAAGAAATCTCTCTTATGTTTGATTGGCTGAAAAATTATGAGAGGTGAAAAAAAAAAAAAAAAACTCACCTATTTCCCAAATTCATTTTTTTTGCCAAAATAGTGAGATTTGATCAAAAATAAAATTGATTGATTATAATATCAAGTTTATTCATCAAAATATAAGGAAGAAAAACAAATCTAATCAATATCCCTATCTCATGAGTAAAATTTTTATGTAAGGTGATACTTAGTCATTGATGATACATAATATCATTAATCAATAATAAAATTATTAATAAATTACATTGACATTTCTTAAAATTTCAAATTTTGTCATAACTACAAGGACTTCTTTTTTAATAAGGCTTAAGAAATCAAAACTAGTGCATGCATAACAAAGACACAGAGATAAATAAAATAACATATAAATTTCAATGTAACAGAAACGACAATATTATTTTTTATCTATGTGACTAACAAATAGTAATGAAAACAAAATTAAACTTTAACATAATTCAAAATAATTGTGCTAAACGTGTGGAGTATATTGTAATTTCTCTAAATATTGAGTTGTAATCTAATTTACTAACAAACTTATATCCTATAATCTTAGTTGAAAAAAAGAAAAAAAAAAAGAAAAAAAAAAAAAAAGAGAACAACCTTCTTTTTAGGTTAAGGTCAAATTTGAGAACAACTTAAAATAGTAAAAAAATCACTTTCAAAAAATCACTGTCAAAAAGTAAACTAAAATTTGGGAGTACATGTTTTTACTTTGGTGAGAAATGATTAAGAATGATAAGAAATCTCTTTTATGTTTGATTGGCCGAAAAATTTTGAGAGGTGAAAAAAAAAAAAAAAAACTCACCTATTTCCCAAATTCATTTTTTTTGCCAAAATAGTGAGATTTGATCAAAAATAAAATTGATTGATTATAATATCAAGTTTATTCATCAAAATATAAGGAAGAAAAACAAATCTAATCAATATCCCTATCTCATGAGTAAAATTTTTATGTAAGGTGATACTTAGTCATTGATGATACATAATATCATTAATCAATAATAAAATTATTGATAAATTACATTGACATTTCTTAAAATTTCAAATTTTGTCATAACTACAAGGACCTCTTTTTTAATAAGGCTTAAAAAATCAAAACTAGTGCATGCATAACAAAGACACAAAGATAAATAAAATAACATATAAATTTCAATGTAACAGAAACGACAACATTATTTTTTATCTATGTGACTAACAAATAGTAATGAAAACAAAATTAAACTTTAACAGAATTCAAAATAATTGTGCTAAACGTGTGGAGTATATTGTAATTTCTCTAAATATTGGAAGATGTCAGTGTAATTGTAAGATAAATTGATAGAGAGGGAATTACAGAGAGAATAAATTGTATGTATTATGATTGATATGTATTGAATGTTGTTGATAGATAGTACAAAGGTTCAGTTGAACTCCTCTATATAGGAGAGGAGCCGAAAGTTGCACTAATAAAATAAAGTAAAAGGAAAAGAAATATACCCTACTAACAGCTGATATACACTAACATAGAATAATATACTAACAGTAATTTATCCTAAAATTAAACATGAAATAGTAAACTCCACAATCGCACATCACAAAATCTAGGTGCGTAAAGAAGATCAAACACATAATATACGAGTATGAGATAAAATATTTAAAATTATAAATACAAACATATTTGTAACTACAGATCTAAATAATTTTTATCTCACATCTGTGTATTTCATGCTCTGACAACTAATTACATATCTGGATTGGGATTGGAGATGTGGCATAACACATGGAACACACCAACTAGGCAACTGTCACTCTCCCACGGATTTTTTTGGCAATCTGTTGTCGTATGAAAACAATGCTCCAAAACAAAAATAATTAGTCAAACAAAGTTTAACAATGTGGTTGTTGGAACAGAGAGAGACTTTGAAGCTTGTTTTTCAATTGCTTATATTTAAGTAGTCGTGCACGAAAGATAAGATGGCCCTCTCTATCATCAAAGAAAAATTGGTTCCATTATACTAGACTTTTGAGGTTTATCAAAATCCACAAGTAAATTCAAATAAATACACAAAGTAGATAATCTCCACTAGAATCCACAATTCAGATAAACCCTTCCCTTTTTTTTTTTTTTCTTTTTTTCTTTTTTTTTTTATTAAATTCAAATACGGCCTGTCTATATAAAATTTATTTTTGTAATAAAAGTTGAAATCTATACATTTCAAGTCGTGTTTGATTTGCAAGAAAAAGTAATTCTAGAATAACTTATCCCTAAATGAGTAGTTATGAATACGATATTTTAAGCATTTTACGATTAAACTCTTAGAATTATCTTGCATATAAGCGATAAAAGATTCTTAGGATTAGTTATCTTGCGTCACAAAATGTGAATCAAATATGAGGTAATTTTGCAAGTAAATTTTAGGCTGTTTTTTTGTGTAATCATAAATTTAAGTAGTGATTTGGAAAGATAAAGAAAAAAGTAAGAGAAATAATGAAAAAGATTAGCTTATATTTTATTTGTATAGCTCTCACTTTTTCTTCTCTTACAAAATACCATTCAAATCTATAATCCAAACACAGGGTGTTGATTCCCATATAACCTTAATTGGGATAATGGCAGATCAAGAGAGGCCTCAAGGGCATGTCAAGGGGCTTCAAATAGCCACAAGTTTGAGCCAATGCTTCATAGCAACTAGTCTAAAAACACTGAATACTTTGAATTGGCAAATAATAAACAATTGTGTGAACAAAGATAAGGCAGAGAAAGACAATGACATCTTTCCACTTCACAAAATCTAAATCTTTACAAGCACAAAGAGAACAAACAAACAAAAAAAAGTTTCTAGTCAAATAGCATCAGCACTAGAAAATTTCCCCCCAAAAGAAAACAAAGCACACATTGCTTCATGGAATTGCCTTCTTAGAAGGCTCCAATCCAATTTCCAAATGCCTAAAATCCACAGACATGGTCCTACAAAAACAAAAACACAAAAAACACGAAAGCATTCTTTCGTAGGAAGTTGTTTGAACAAAAATGGAAGCCATTACTGAGAAAATCTTGAATCAGGACATGAAATGATGTCTAAATTGAAAATTGAAGAATGACAAATCTTGTCGGTAGGATGGGTCAGCAAGGGGACGAACCATTCAGTCATTAAGCTGTACATTTTTTCTTTTTTTCTTTTTCTCTCCTCCCTAATTTCCTACATTGTCGCTGCTAGAATCCATTAAAATTGTCAATCTTTTTGCTGTCTTCGTAAAGTCACTGCCAGGACAATAAAAAAAACATACAGAGATCAGATCAATCTCTTTAGGTTTTAACAGATCATTTCAAAAGAGCACAAAAATGCACAAGAAACATACCTGAATGGTTCGTTTCCAATCTGCTTGACAGAACCAGTCAAATCCCGGTAGAGCACATGGTTCAACATCTCGGAACTTTCAATCCCAAACATGTTTGCCAGTTTTCTGTACAATTCTTCATAAGACCCAAGCATTGAAAGATCAAGAGTACGGCCCACATCCTCTGATTCCATAAATACCTTACAATGACCAATTTCCAAGCTGGGTTCTTTGTCTCGATGATTATCTTTATCCCATAGAATCCCTTTGCAAGAAGATCTCTGCTCCGGTTGATGAAGTGCAGAACCAGAACCATCAGAAATATTTGCAATCTTATCTGCATTCCCATCTGAGGAACTATTTCCGGAGCAGCTTAGAGAGATCTGTTTCTCAGTAAGTATTGGTTGACCGAAAAGCACGAATTGGGTTCCTTTCCCATTGTCCGGTTTCTTTGAATTAGGAGTACAATTCCCAATAGTTAGTGAGCAAGAAACATTTTCGCCACTGCTAGGCTTTTGGGTGATAGCGGGATTGGAGGGTCTAATTTTCATTGCTGCAACACTATCTAATGTTGGGAAATTGGCTGAAAACAGGCCCGAGTGTAGTTTATTGAGGTGTAGATTGGATAAAGATAAACCGTATTGAGCATGCCTGGCTCCCTGCATGCCAGCAGGAGCATTGTCGGGAAGACAACTGAAGGGACGTAACGGGTTGCCTGAAAATGTAGGCATCGCAAGTTGGCCATCGAGAGGGAAATCGGGGTGTAGGGGTAGTCTCAACTTCTTACGCGGAGGTGAAAATGGTGAGAGATGGATCACGGGCATGTTTGAGACCAATTCCACCAGCCATGGGCTTACGTGTTTGACGTTTTGAAGCAAATCAGGCTCATCCCATGTCACCTGAAAAATATTCAGTTAATCAAAAAGAAAAATGGAATTAGCCACAGATTTAAATCATTCAAGAACATGATCATAAATTGCCTAAATAAACAATGACTCTCACTGTAACTTGTGCTAAAGAAAGTTGTGAGTTGAGTCAAAATTTCCTTCATACCTACACAAATCTAAATTGTAGTATGATCTTTAAAAATCTTTCCAAAACATTCAACAAAAAAGGATTAAGAGAAATGTCAGTAGTACTAACATCAACATCAACATCAAATCCGAAGAGAATTTCCCACCACAGGTCACAACATTACATAATTATCAAAACAATTCTGCAGGAGAAAAAGTTGCAACATTCAAGAGAATTTAGTAATACCTGGAGAAGTCTCCAAGGCGAATCAGGCCAACGAATGGGATCGGCAACCTGAACAGAAGATATGGTTCCCATGAACCAACTTATCCGGGAAGAATCCTCAGTTTCAAAGGCCATCTTGAACCTCATTCCCGAGCACCAGCAGATCTGCAACGCAGCCTTCACAAGTGAGGCTTTCACACAGAACTCCGGAGTACTCGCTCGTGGATAGTAAACAACCTCAAAGGGCTGTTTGTTGGCTGCCAGTGTTGCAGCTTCAACAACCGATTCAGGCCTTACTTTCCCCTTTCCGGTTGAGCTCCCACTACCACTAGAATTTCCACCATTGCCATTTCTAATTAATTTGTTCTCATCGTCCCTCAAAAAGGCCGAAAACCCTCCATAAGGTATGACACAATTACCACCGGCAGGATTCCATCCGGATGACGACTCGGGTCCGCCTCCAATTCCCCTCTTTGCTCGCCGGATTCCAACACAGAGATCCCCATTTTCTGCTCTCAAGAACACAATTGAATCCCCTGCAACAAGCTTCTTGTGGTTCACAAAAGTGCTCCATCCTGTTGTCAGAAGATGGCGCCTTGGTGTTCCCCTATAAATATGACGAAATTTCCAAGTTTCACCGTGAACATCCTTTGCAAGGATTGTCTGAACAGGAGGATCAGCAGTGTAATCCAACCGTGGAAAGATCGTCTCTGCACAATACCGAGGAACCGAAAACCCTCCACCATTGTTAGCATCCGATTGGGTCAATGTCTTTGCAAATGAAGTGGGTTTATCTTGGTCGGGTCCATTAATTCCCCCAACTCCATCTTCATACTCAATCTCGTTGCTATTAAGGGGAATCAACCTAATTTTGGCATAAACCTCATCTGTTTCAGGATCAGCCATGAATTGAATAGCGGAAACTCTACAAGCAATATAGGAAGGAACCCTAGGATAATTTCTAAAATCAACATTTCCACTCGCATGCTCAGCATGCCCTTGAGGGAAGTAGAACACCTTGGAATTCACTGGCGGCATTTGCACCATACTACCGGCACAAGCATGCCATAATTGAGAATCTAAGCATTTCTCAGTTTCCTTCATTTTATCTTTTGAATCTATAAAAGTAATCATGATTATCTAATCAAACAACCCTGTTCATTACCCTTCTTCTTTAGATTATGCTTCATCCACAGTAAAATTTGAATTCTGAAAGCAGAACAATACTAATATTCATTAACAATTGAACAAAACATACAAAAACTAATATATTCAATCTTTAAAATTCAATACTTACCTCTATTCAGGAGAAAGAAATGAATGATATTGATCCAAATAGAGCTTAATCAAAATGGAACCCAAATCAATCGCACCTTCAAATCTCCCCTACAAAATTCCTAAAATCCACTTGAAACCAAAACAAAATGGTGTCAAATTCAATTGGAAAAGCTTCATTTTTTTTTTTTTTTTTGCAATTTCAGAAGCTTCAAATTCACTCTGAGCACAAGACCACCAATCTACAATTTCAATGTAAATCGTGAGGTGGAAAATAAAAACCCACTTCAATTCAACTGAGTTTCACTACATAGTTTCATAAATCGCTCAAACAATACCCAAAAAAATAAAATAAAATAAATCTCCAATTGTCTCTTCAACTACAAAAATATCAGTAACTAATTTCACACTCAACCTCCTCAAACTCACTCTCTCTCTCTCTCTCTCCCCTCCAAACCCAGTAGAGAAAAACAAATTAAAACAAAACCCAAACACCAAAAATCAAACTTTGTCTCTCTATCTCCGTGTCTCGTCGTCTTCAACAGAGAGTCGATGAAAGAACAGCAAAGTCCATGACCGACGCACCATAACAAGACCAGACAAGGCTTCTTTTTTAATTACAAAAAATAAAAAGAGAGAGATAGAACCATGCATCCACTTCCAAAGCAACAAACAAAGATTTCATAAAAGATGCATTCAATGCTCCACTCTTCTGGATCGCTGACACTTCCAAATCAGCTTCATACATATACACACATACATGTATCTATATGCGTATATATAAATATTTATGTGCAGTTGCGTAAATCACTCTCTCAGGGTGTTTTATGTATTTATTATTATTATTATTATTTGTTTTTTGTCTTTCTTTTTTGTCGTAATTTTTTAATTGTGTTATTTGGTGCATAATTTATTTAGAAAAATGATATACAAGTATATTTTTTAAACTTATTTTTTAGATTCTGTGTAAGTGATATGATTAATTGATAATTATAAAAAATATGAGAGAAAAATGTTGTATTTTAATTGATTGTCATATCATTGAGTTTGAAGAGTAAATTTAATTTTTTATCTTAAATAGCAATGCTCATTTATTTAAGAGTAAAATACATTGACTTCGCATGAGGAAACAAATCAAGTGTTATAATTTTAATATAATTATATTGATTTCAATGCAAAACAAAAAAAAAATGCAGTAATATTATTTTTTATTAATATAATTAACAAACTTTGAATGAAAATAGGGTTAAGTATTATGAGAATTAAATATTTTTTAAAAATCCAATATATTTATACCAACTTGTGATACTTATTGTATTTTTTACAAACCTCATGAGGCTAGTGTAATTTATTCTTTTTTTTAATTTGTATTTGAAAGAGTTCTTATTTTGTTTTCAAATTTTATAATAGAAATAAGATATTTTTGTCTAAATTCAAATACATTTCACACTGAAACATAAACCACACAACATAAAAAGAGGGGAATTGTAAAAAATATAAAAATAAGTTGAAGTATTTATAATTTTATAAAAATGCAAGTAAGAGTTGTGTCTCATGTCACTCTTTCATTTGCTCGGAATACAAGCCCACTTGCACATTTAAAAAAGTTGAATTGTTTTGAGTTATTTTTTAATTACAAATTTTTAAAAATATGGGTAAATTATGCTAACATCGGTTTTGGTTTAAAGAAAATAAACTGAGTCGCACAAATATAACACACATTGGTTCTTTTAAAATTTTAATTTACATAATATTTAATTATTTTCATAAATAATTAATTAGTCATATAGATTGAAAAATAATGTTATTATCTTTTTTTTTCCCTAAACGTATATTTACATTGTTTATCTATATATCTACACAGCATCATAACATGCATTATTTTTTATTGTTTAATCTTACTAAAAAAAAATGTCAAATTTAATTATGTTGAATTTGTAAGATTATTGTATTTTTTCTTAAACTTCAGTGTAATTTATCTTTAAATTATTTAAATATAAATTAAATAAGATAATGACTAAACAAACTAAAATATTAGAAATTAAAACAAAATAAATAGTATATTGTGAGTAGACAATGTATTTAACCCGTATATATGTATATTTTAGGTAGTATTTTTATTTTATTTTTTAATTTTTTATTTATTTTTTATTTTTTTGGGATACCTTTTTCTGCGGATCTGAAGAAGGTCAGTTTGTACTTCCAGAAGTCAGCAAAACAACAAAGATCTTAAAGCAAGCAATCTATTTTTCCTAAAAACATTTTTCAGGTATATTTTTATTTATTTATTTAATCCATTAAAATATGCATTTATTAATTCTGTTTCTTGATCACTCTCATTGATTAACTATTCAACTGATTAGTTTAGTTTAAGGGAAAATTAGTCTAGGGTCCCTCTCCCACTTTTCATAATGGAAGAGATCCACAAAATTACTTTTTGATGTCTAAGGTCCCTAAATATATATCAGAGAAATTTGTCTATGGTATCTAATTCGGACCTCACTTTGTTCATCGTAATGTCGAACATCTTCATGAGACTCTATTGCTCTTGAATCTCTGCAAGCAACATAGTCACATGAGGGGGCGAAGAACCGAGCTGTTTCTTCAAGAAGCTCTGTTTCAACTCAGACAAAGATTTCAATTCGTACACCACAGCTTCATCAGCAGACTGAATCGCTTTCGCTGTTGTAAGGAAACTGAGCCATTTGTAGCTCCGCGTAAGCGGCTTTGACAACTGAAATGGTGGCGAAGAGCTTCGCAGCAAAAGCTTCCATGGCAGCTCTGTTTCGAGACCTTGCGTCATCGTTATTGTTGTCTTTGTCGAAACGTTGTGAATCGTTTTTGAGTTTGTGGTCCTGAGGTATGAGCAAGCAAAACCCAGTGCTTGAAAGGGGATTTTGAGGCTTTTTCAGAGGTGAATGACTTAGTGGAAGGTTAATAGGAAAAAAGAATTTTTTTGCTCCAATTGAGGAGGGTTGATTTCTTATCTGCAGACACAGGAAGATGGATACACGTTACACACCACAAAACACACAACACACACACGGCTATCACAAACCCATCACACACATGCACAGAACACAAAATTTAAAATTTCTCTGGAGATAAATTTTGAATTTCTCTGGAGATAAATTTCGAAGTCAGAGAAATTTGGTTAAAACACATTATGAAAACACATTTGATAAATTCTGAAGTCAGAGAAATTTGGTTAAAACACATTCTGAAGTCAGAGAAATTTGGTTAAAACATATTCTGAACTCAGAGAAATTCCGAAGTCAGAGAAATTCAAAATTTCTCTGGAGAGAAATTTCCAGAATTTCTCTGGAGAGAAATTTCTCTGGACCAATTTTCTCTGGATCAATTTTCTCTGGATCAACTTGAGGGACCTTAGACATTATGAAAATATTGAGTGTCCTTTATGCTGTAAAATCATAATACCAGGGACCTTAAAAAAAAAACCCCTTAGTTTAAATGGATGTACTGCGAGTTTTGTGCTGCCCTAAAAGCAAGGCAGTCGTTAACTAGGAAAGTTTTGACTGTGGTTAGGATGTACACTATGCCAAGTTGACTAGGGCTAACTAACTAGACTTGTGGGTTAGATTTTTATTATTATTTTATATAAGATAAAATACAAATACAGTGTTGAAATTTGTCTAAAATATGGATTGAAGTGATTTTAAAAATTACAAATATTTCATTATGAGAATTTTTTATATTACATAATTAATAGAAAAATTAAAATTTATAATTACTCTCCTATATAACAATAAAATTATTTGAATTGTTAATTGAAATATATTTCTAAAATTATTAAAAATTATTAATTAACTTGATAATTTATTAATAAAATAGTTCTTTGTTATACGATTAAAAACTTGAAAAAACGGTGTAATTTTTAAAATCACAAAGAGCAATCTATATTTTAAATAAATTTCAAGAGATATATTTATAATTTACCTTTTTATATATAATTAAGTTGAAGAAAATCAAGAAAAATTAAGGATTGTATATAATTCAAATTCAGACCCATCGATATATTATATAAATTTTTAAATCATTTCTATTGATACAAGAAATAAATTATTTTCATTTTATTTAAAATTTTGATAAATCATATACTCACCACTATTGAGATTTTAAAAAAATACAGTTAGTTTCACACTTTTAATTTAATTATATTGATATCTTTTTTAATAAAGCTAAATTGATCAAAACTAACGCATGCTAAACACTAAAAGTAAATAATAGTAATAAATATATATTTTAGTATAAAAGATATGATAATATCATTTTTCCATTCATACGAGAAATGAATTACTGATGAAAAATTGTTTAACTGTTATGTGAATTTAAATCTCAAGAGAAACCAATATAATTATGTCAAAAGTGTAGGTTATTAATACTTTTTTCAAACCTTAAGAGAGGTGAGTCTAATTTACCCTTAAGAATTTAATGATTTTTAAATAATTTTTAAATTTAATTTGTCTATAATTTCAAACATTTTTAATTAAATCGATGGTTAGTAGCTTGATTTTTTGTACAACTTTTATTTTGTAATGCGTATAAATTATTGAGTTAAACTAAAAAAAATGAAATTTTAAATACTTTTAACTTTGACTTTTTCGTAATAAATTCAACAAAATTTAATGAATCGTACAACAAACTGAGCATAACTAAAATTACAATAATTGAGATCAATTAATAACATGTGAACACTTTTGGAAATACTAAATAGATATTTTTTGAACAAACCTAACCTTTTGCCAGAATTTTTTTTGGTGAAATAATAAAATTATCCATAATCTAATCACCTCATAATAGATTAAAACTGATCATGGATAATCATGATAAAAAAAATTTAAAATTTGTAATTTGGTGAGATACCATTGTTTATGCACTCTAGTAATGTGGTGGAGGCAAACATAATAAAGTTATAAATTAGCTTAATTATTGTATAACAGGGAGTTGTAAAGAAAAAATATGGGTAAAGAAGGAAGTTAAATAAATGTTGTCAAGTTTTGTTGGAAAAAATATATTTTCTTGTATAATCTAAGTGATACTTGAAGTTCAACTAACAAGCATAAAATTTTAATTTTCGTTACTTTGTAAGACTCTCTATCTACATCAATCGAAGCCTAAAAGTAATTTTAAGTACGATCATAATAATGACTAAGGGTATAAATGTCAAAATAGTTACAATTTCAATATATGTTTTATATATTCTTAACTATTTTACATATAGTTTTAAAAAAAATTTCAATAATTTTCTTACAAGAACATTGAGACTATGAATATCCATTGAAATATCATTTTATTTTTATCTCTTTGATGTAGAGCTCATAAATGTTACTAATTTTCCACTTTTTAAGGATAAGGATATATGTTTTCTTTTTCATTTTTATCAAGAAAAATGCTTGGGAGCACTAATTAGTGCTCCCATTAATTAGGTGGCAGTGGGTCCCGCCATTAATGATGTGATGTTTTGGTCTTGTAGTTGTGTTTTTTTTTTTTTTTTTACTTTTTTAATGCATTAGTGCTATTAGTGGTGGTGCTTTTAGTGGGATGAATCATTGTTGTTTTATTAAAGGTAAGCATATATGTAGGAAGATTTCTATTTGGTTGAGTTTTAGAACTTGTTTTTTTTTTAATTTGTTTTACAATATTAGAAAAAATAAACACTAGAAAATGAATATATATATATATATATTTTAAAAAAAATTAAAATAACTTCCACCTAAAAAAGAGAAAGTCATATAAAAGTTTTTGAA